ACACTATGCCAGGGGCACGCCATCCCTATAGCATCACTTACCCAGGGTCGTCTCATCCCTGGTCATATGTGTGAGGAACAACAATCATATGACATCGACATCTCATTTCATGTCAACATACTCACATCATGTTATCAATTCAATATTAAAACAGTAGATATAATGTATACATTTGTATGAAGGAAGCACACCACATTCCATATCTAGATCATCAATTTTACCAAATAATTTAACAATAATATTTATAAATTAATATAAAACCTAATAGAATCATCAATTTAGTAGAATCTTAACTCAAATAGTAAAACCCCCAATTTTCCAAAACCTAACTCACAGGCGCTTTTCTACGATTTCGTTCTTTCTTCCAAAGCATCATTTTTCCAAATTAAATCTCGGATATCTCTAGAAATTTAAGATTATCCAACAATAGCTTCCCTAACTTAGACGAACAAAGCCACCACATTCTTGACTTTCCTATTAAGGATGAGTTGATCCATGATGTGGTTAAAAGAATAGGAAGTTTCAAGGCTCTTGGAAGAAATGGTTTTCATGTTATTTTTTACCAAACAAAATGGAGTATTGTTGGCTCCACAGTTTGTGCTCTTATCCCCGCCATAAAGTAGAATTTGGATAGAGTTAAAGAGGTGAATAAGACCCTTTACTCTAATCCCTAAGATGGATAAGGTTGCTAGTCTAAAACACAGAAGACCTATAAACCTTTGCAATGTTTCTTACAAAATTCTTATAAATATTCTTTTGCAAAGGTGAGCATTTAGCTAGTCTAAACTAGTGTATTTTTGTCCTTAACAAACAAACTACTGATAATGCAATTATTACACAAGCCATCCAATTTATGAGGTCAAAGAGAAAAGGGAAAGGTTGGATGGTTATAAAAATTGACCATGAGAAAGCATATAATAGACTGAATTAATTGGAATTTTTTAAAAGACACCCTAGTTGATATTGGCTTCCCCGATAAAATTTGTTGCTACGGTTTGGGTTTGTGTATCTACTCCTTCTATGTGTATGTTATGGAAAATAAAGAATTTGGAGGAGTTTAAGCCTTCTAAAGGTATTAGACAAGCTAGGAAACCCTATTTCACCTTATATCTTGGTCTTACGTATAGAGAAATTATCTCATTTTATTGAAGTGGTTGTTCAACATATATTATGGAAGTCTATTAAGTTGGCTAGGGATGGCCCCCTTATCTCATCTGCCTTTTGTGGATGATTTGGTTCTCTTTGTTGAAGCCTCTATGTGTCAAGTGGAAGTTATTCAAACTTGTTTGAAAGTGTTTTGTGATAGTTTTGATTAAAAAGTGAGTTTAGAAAAATTGGTATCTTCTTCTCCAAGAATGTGGCTAGGAATGTTCATAATCAAATTAGTGAAACCTCTATTTTTCAATGGACAATGAATTTTGGAAAATAATTGGGGTGTACCTTTGCATCAAATTCGTGTGAATAAAGCTTCTTTTCAGGGTATGTTTTAGTAGGTGAATCAAAACTAAAGAAATTGGAAGGAAAATTTTATCATTTACTGGTAGATTAACAATTACTAAATCAATGGTTTCACCCTTGCCTTCCTATATCATGCAAACCACATTTATTCCCCTTCATTTGTGTGATGAATTGGATAAGAGGTGTTGAAGCTTCTTATAGGCGATCATGAAGAACAAAGGAAGGTACACAATGTGGCTTAGGATTTTATTTGTGCTCCAAAGAATGAAGGTGGTCTTGTATCGTAAGGCTCGAGATGTCCCTTGTTTATAATGTAGAATTGTTGGAATATCTCTGTACAAGTCAAGAAAAACTTTGGGTGAAAGTTTTCAAGACCAAATATAACTATGGTAATGATGGATATCCTAAGGTTGGTATAATAAATCATATGTTATATCTTTGGAGAGGAATGAGCAGTGTATGGTAGAGTTTTAAGTGTAATATGGTGTGGAAGATATGGGATTGCAAGCGAGTCAAATTTTGGCTTGATCGTAGGGTTACTAGATTGCCACCATTGGCATATCTTATTGTGTATGATATTCCTAAGGGAGAAACTCATCATACAACAGTAGATTATGTGAACATAGAAAGGGAATGGATGGATGTGACTTTTAAAATTTACCTTCATTATGATATATGTTAAATTGTGATTAGTCATGCTCTAGCTCCCTTAGATAATATAAAGAACCTTATGTAATTGCTTGGAAAAGCTTTCCTAATGGTTTTTTCTTTTCAAATAAAGGAGCTTATGATGTGGCTAGAATGGATGTGACAAGGAGGATTCAACCATTCTTTAAGTTGATTTGGAGCTAGAAGGGACCTAATTAAAAGGATAAAAACTTTTCTATGGAAAATTGCTCATAATGGACTGTTGACAAATGATATTCATTGTCTTCGTGGGATGACTCCTAATTCAACATACACATGGTGCACAATTAAAGATGAAACGATTTTGCATGTGTTGAGAGTTTGTCGAGCCATATGTGCATTTTGGGATGTTTTATGTTAAGGGTCAAAGCCTTTGAATTTTATGAACACTAATGTTTTTACTTGGTTGAGAGCTAACTTAACTTGTAGCCATAGTAGTTGGAACACTATATTTGTTGTTACAACGAATTCTATTTAGTATAGGAGGAACCTTTTTTATTTTCCAAGGGAAACAATTGAATACAAGCAACTTTGTGTCAGAAATTACAACTCGTTCTAATGCTATAACACGGAGCTTTTAATGAATTTATTGGCACGAGTTCAACCTATACAAGCTTGAATAATGTATCAAATATTAGGTGGTCTTCACCTCCAATAGAATGTATTAAATTGAAATGTGATGGAGTTGTAAGGGAGGGGAAGAGTTTATTCTTTGGTGAAATTGTAAGGAATCATCTAGGTGGTTTTGTATGTGTTTTTTCTATTAAATTGGGAAGATGTTCTATTTTGTAAGTAGAACTTTGGGCTATATTTTATGACGTTAAGGTGATAAGTGACAAAGATCTTATTGAAAAGATTATAGTGGAAACACTAGTACAAAAGAGGTAATATTCCACGTCGGATAGTTTGAGCTTTTTACATCAGAAAAAATACCGACGTAAAAGCGGGAGACGTAAATTTACATCGAACATTACCAAAATCCGACGTAAAAAGTAGTAGAAAAATAAAAAATAAAAACATAAGAATGCAAGTAGAACGGCCTGTTCTGCTTGGAGAACGGGTCGTTCTACTTCGTAGAACAATCCAAAAGAAAAGGCCAACGACCTATACAAATAGAACAAACAAAAAATCGAATAGAACAGATAGCTACAATAGTAATGCGAAGCAAAAAAGTGTTAACGAAACCTTGATTCATACCTGATGAGTTGCAACAGTGTGCGAATGAGTAACAACGAGTTCACCCCTCTACAAAAAATAAAAAAACGATTCAGTAACAAAGGAGAGGAAGAGGGTTTACAGAGAAAAAAATGGAAAGTGATGAAGAGTGAATGCGCGCAGTGTGCCTCGCACTCTCTTATTCAATTTCGCGTCCTTTTTTTACGTCGGACCTGATAGGGTCCGACGTAAAATGTCAAATCTACATCGGACACAACATACATCCGACGTAAATTTGACTTTTTACGTCAGACCATACTAGATCCAACGTGAAAAAGTTCGCGAAAATTACAAAAATGCCACCGCGTCTTTTTTACGTTGGATTTTCGTATTTCTGACGTTAAAGAAGTGACGTAATAAGCTAATTTTCCACTAGTGAAACTCTATTTTGGCTTTAAAGTTTTTGAATGATGGGTGCTTCCCTATTATATTTTGGTTAACATGATTGTGAATTTACTGAACCATATCATCAAGAGGTTTCTTGCAATCACATTTTTAGAGGAGCAAACCAGGTTGGAGATACAATTGCTAAGAATGAGAGCTCTTTGACAGAAGGATTGCATTTATTTCATAATCCACCTCGTTGGATTCAAATTCTTTTACTTGCGGATACTTCAGGTATATTTTTCTTTCGTGTCCTTTTAGTTTCACACTGTACCAAAAAATAAATCATAGTCTATTTCCTTATCAAATTCCTATATGTGTGTGTGTGACATTTTACCTATTTTTTAAAATTTTTTGTTACAATTTCATTAACTTCTATTAAAAAAAATATCACCAAAATACTTTTTACACTAACATCCTCTCAAAAATATAAATATTATAATACCCTCCTTTTTTGTATTAAAATAAACATTTTCTTTCCTTAACAAATACAAAATGTTACACTTAATTTAATGGTTTATTTCTTGATTTACATATTTAATTATTATTTTATAAATTAGTATGATTTTTCTAAAGTAAAATAAATAACATATTTTAAGATGGTTTTTAATTAATGTCATTAATGCAATACTTTTCTAAATATTCAAATAAAATAAAATTTTTATTATATAGTATAAACAACTTTAACATCAAGAGTGAAAAAATCTTTTTTTTTTCCTTTTTGAAAATAACACTTCAATTTTATTTTGTTGAATTATTTTAAATAAAAAATAATTCTTAAAATTTAATTTATCCAAATAAAGCTAACAAAATTTTGATTTTACCAAATTATGAAACACACATTTAAATGTAATATGTTGTATCTATGAGTATTTAATTATAAGTAAAAGAAATATTTTTGTGTGTAATAAAATATATTATTTTTAATAAAATATATTATTTTTAATAAAATTAAATACATTATCATAACACCTTGCAGACCTCGATATTGACTGGCCTCTCTTCATGCGACGTCATACCTTACATAAGAATTATATGATGAGTACATCGGTCAAAGAAGATGGGCAAAATATCACGAACTTTGCCGAAAAATCGTCTACATGCATGTTATGCTGTCCTAAATTATAGCATACAAGACAATAAAAAAGTAAAAAAGAAAATAGTTTTTCGTTTCTTTAATTCTCAAAATGATATCCAGACAAGCCATCATCACTTGTTCATGTAAGTTAATTAGTTAAAATGAGTAAGATGACAAAACAAAACAGAAAGTTCCATCCAAATGAGAATGCTTTATGCGCCCCCAATTCCAAAAAATAGAAACCATGCAATGCCACAATTGCATGCTATAAAAATAGCCATTTAATCTGCATAATCTTCCCACACACATCATTCAGTTCAACTCTGAAGTCTCATATCATATCTAAATCCTTTTATCTCTTTCTCTCCAAACTAACACTCTTACTACAAGGAACTTATTCATCCAATCCTACAATATCATGGCAAGCACCAATTCTAGTGTTCCATCTCACATAAAAGCTTGGGTGTACTCAGAATATGGGAACATAGAAGAGGTTCTCAAGTTTGATCAAAATGTACCTACACCACACATCAAGGAAGCCCAAGTGCTCATGAAGGTTGTGGCTGCTGCCATTAATCCCGTAGATTACAAGAGGGCTCTTGGCCATTTCAAGGACATCGACTCTCCTTTACCCGTAAGATTATTTTCTCAAATCTTTCAGCATATATTATATTGTATTATATATACTACTACTACCCCAACATTTTGATTTTATTTTTATCTCATTTCACAATATGTTTTATTTTGTGTGGTGGTGAGAAGACTGCACCGGGGTATGATGTTGCTGGGGTGGTGGTTAGAGTGGGAAATCAAGTGAAGAAATTTGAAGTTGGAGATGAAGTTTATGGCGATATCAATGAGATTACTTTGGACCATCCAAAGACTATTGGCTCTTTGGCTGAATACACTGCTGTTGAAGAAAAAGTATTGGCTCACAAACCCTCCAATTTGAGTTTTGTGGAAGCTGCTAGCCTCCCTTTGGCAATCATAACTGCTTATCAAGGACTTGAAGCTGCTGAGTTCTCTGCTGGCAAATCTATTCTTGTTCTTGGAGGTGCTGGTGGAGTTGGCTCACTTGTTATTCAGGTTTCAATATAAATCAAGAAGTTGATCTGCCTCTCTTATATTTCTATGGCATATTTTTTTCTTTGCACACAATATAGTATTTTATATTCTACTGGAAAGCTAACTTTTTGTTGTATATGCCTGTGTTTGATCATGAGATAGATCGCTAAGCATGTGTTTGGTGCATCTAAGATAGCAGCTACTGCTAGTACTGGCAAACTGGAATTGTTGAAGAACTTAGGAGCAGACTTGCCTATTGATTACACAAAGGAGAATTTTGAAGAATTGGCAGAGAAGTTTGATGTGGTGTACGATGCTGTAGGTAAGTTATTTAGACTTTAAGTCATCTTAGCCTATGTTCGTATGTTTCACAAACATAATATTGTTGTTGAATAATTTGTCTCAAAAACTGTTGTTCCAAATTAACACAGGGCAAAGTGAGAGGGCATTGAAGGCTGTTAAAGAAGAGGGTAAAGTTGTGACAATATTGCCACCTGGAACTCCACCAGCCATCCCATTTTTGCTCACTTCAGATGGAGCTTTGTTGGAGAAACTGAGACCTTACTTGGAGAGTGGAAAGGTGAAGCCAATACTGGATCCTAAGAGCCCCTTTCCATTTTCTCACACAGTGGAAGCATTTTCCTACCTCAAGACTAATAGAGCCACTGGCAAAGTAGTCATACATCCCATTTCATGATATGCATGCATAATGCCAATTTCTTTGGCCTTATAAGTTCTTTACTTTGGGTATTTCCTATTTGAGTTTGTGTATTGTAATAAACCTCTCAGAGATGTGGTTGCTTCTTGTGGTATAAGTTTTTAATTACCTGCATGGTTTGCGTTCTGGCTACACAACATGAAATATAATGATATAGTATATGTTGTTGAACAACTTATGAGTAACTTGTGTGCAGTATCCCTATTTGTACACTAAATAAAATTGAAACGTGTAGTAAAATTTGCCTATTTGATCTACTTAAGCTTGAAAGCAGAACACATCTCATACTTAAGCTTGTTTTCTAAAAATTTGGGCACTTGATTATTCCAGAAATGATAGAATTTCATCAATCTGACACGTGCAGTTTGTGTGCTGGACAAATGACATTATAAAATATATAATATTAGTGTTGAGAACTTTTATCTGAAATGAATCTAATACTAGGAACACAACAAACTGAGTTGCAGAGAAATGACTCACTACAACTGAAAATAGCTCACTTAGCGGAAATAAAGGCTAGTGGTAACAGAAATGAGAAAACAACCAATAATTCAAATCCAGATAAATATCCCTAAAGACAGAACTTATCAGTAAACCAAGATATTATTCAAAACAGAAAAACTACAGTAAACTCCTTCAATTAGTACATAGACCAAGAGTGTTGTATGAACTAGTTGAATCTACAAAAAATGAAAGCAGAAACAATAGAGGAGCAGGCAAAGGCCACAAAAGCAACAAAAGAGAGAGCAACAGATGCATTCGCCATTTCCACGTACTTGTTTGTATCCGTACTTTTTGCCCAATAATAAGCTATAGTGGCAGCTGATGATGATGCTGACATCAGAAGATATGCCATTACCTGTATTTTAATCTTAGAGCTTAGTATATAAACATATATACATATGCCATGATTATGGAACTAGCTATTAAACATGCATACATTTTCAGCCAATGAGAACAAAGGTGCAAAATATAGCAACAACATCATGCATGCATGCACACCTCATTCAACATGACTTGAAAACTTCTATGATTACTATAGGAGATTTATTTAACAACTCTAAACTAAATAACTAATAACCAACTATTTTATGTACTAAACTTATTTGTAATATTAGCATCATGATAATATTGATATTAATTAGAACATATATGTACTTTCACCGACGAAAATTACAAAACTCTTGGTAGATTAAACCAAAATGCATGTAGGGGTACGTCCGTACGTACATTGTAGGTAGACATATAATTATTAACTAATGGAATGAAAATTCCTGAAAACTGGCTTTACCTGATCCATAGCAAAATTGAAGTAACCCCGAAGTTTGGGATCCACTGTGTGTCTTTTAGTGTACAAGTACTTCAACAGATCGCATATTTGCAATCCAGAATATACAAAACCAATCACATTAACTGACAAGCAGTATCTGCAAATTCATACCAATAAAAGTTGCAAACAGAAGCAATAATAACAAACAAACATAGTGAAAAGCAAACTAAATGGAAAATTTTCATTTTATAGTCTCAAAAGATCCATTATTTGAATGGAATAAAAAAAATGTTCTACATGAAAAGCAATTCTTAATTCAGAATACTTTTTTCTTTCCTCAGTACTCATGAATTGTTTTGCATTCTTTTTTAAGAGTCAAGTCTGAATGAATTTCTCTATAAATAGTTAAATACGTATAAAAGAAAAAAAAATAATTCAAATAAATTAATTAAGTAACAAGCGGGTGTTTGGTTTCAAGTTTTATTTTCTTTTTTATTTTTAATTAAAAAATGTAAATTGTATCTTCACTTCATTTTTTTTGTTTACAAAAAAAAAATTATAAAGAACACTGGAAAAAAAATATCATTTCTATTTTCACTATTTCCTATATTAAAAATAAGAAATAATGTAAAAAAAAATAAAATAAAAAAAATAAAAAAATAAAAACAACTCTACAACTATACACGTTAAATGAAAAATTTTCAAACCAAATATTTATATTTGCATTAATTTGAAACATCATTAGATTTAGACAAGAAATAGACAAGACAAGTCATTAATCTAAGTAATAATAAATCCAATCTTTTTAACTAAAATCTTGAATTTAAATCTTATATAAAAAATTGATTTGGAAGAGAGATTTCACTCAAAGTGAATTCTTTAACAAAGATTAATCATTGATAGATTCTCTCTACTAACATGATTAAAAAAAGCAGGAATAGTTGAATGCAATGCAAGTGTCTATCTATATATTCTTATTACTCGGAGAGATTAAGAGCAATTAACTTACTTGAATTCCCGGAAGTCATACCAGTGTACTTGATCTTGAGACGATGATTCCACATAATAATCGTACCAGCTTGTGAATGTTGTACGCACTTTCTTTTTTTGATCAGCAGCCAACACAGAAAAAGCAACATTGCACAATACGAAAGCAGCGATCCTTAGTCCCAACAAAACAATGTACCACGTACCCTCTTTCTTGGACACCCCATCACGTGTCCCTTCTTCTTCAACGTCGTCTTCCACATCCATCACCGCCACCTTTGTCGTTGCCATCGTCTTATTCAGTTCCTCCTCGACAACCTTAATGGCCCCGTCACTGACAAAGGAGTGAGAGTGGCTAGCCACCACCATCTGAGGGTCCCCATCACTCATAGAGTGGTCGAGTGAGTCCTGAAGTGTTAAACTGTATGGAGCTGAAGGAGCTTTGGAAGCATTGGAACGGATTGATCGTGGTAACTCTGACACTGGGTGGTGGTGGTGGTGGTGGTGGTGGTGGTGGTGTTCCTTCTTCTTCGAGGGATTTACTTCTTCTTTGTCCTCTGGGTGACATTTGGTTTTGTGGCCTTTGTTTTCTAGGGTTAGGGTTTCACTTTTCGTCGTGGTCATGGTGTGTTTTGAGACTACAAGGTTTTGGAATTAAGCAGATGCAGTACTCGAGAAGTTTTTCACTAAAAATGCATGCTGTTTCATGAGTGATAAATATATCACTTCATGCATGCTAATTAGTGATTATTTAACCAACCAATGTACAGTGATGTATACTTGAGTTAAATAATGTTGAGTGTTCACTTACCCTTTCGGTGTTCACTTGCTCAAGAACAGAAGATACCTTTTATTGCAGCTGAAAAGGATTCAACCATCCACCATCATGAGGAGTAATTTGACCCACATCCGTATAAAAGATGATTTTTTTTTTAATTGCAAGATGAAAATAATGTTTATTCATATACCAATAAGTCATTAATTTGAGTAATATGCATTTTGGTCTTTTAAGTTCTAACTACTACTACATTTTAATTTTTTAGTTATATTTTCTTTTTTATATTTGTTAAAATGTTATTATATATTAAATAAATAGGTTATTTTGTAATACTTTTTTTTGAAAAATGTCATTGTAGATAGAGTTACATTTTTTATTTCAATATTATTCTTTCTAATTATTTTAAAAATTAAAGTCTCATTAAAAAAATTACATAGGATATTTTGCAAAATTTATTTTTTGAAAAATGTTACTATAATTGTTTCTAAAATCAAAGTCTCACATCGAGTAAAAAAAGTATATTTCTTTCATCTCTAATTGTTACTCATAATTAAAATCAACATCGAATAGATGAATGAATCATAAAAAAAATACATATATAATCATAACTTAAGATAAATGAACTTTGATATTTGATATATAATTAGTGGTGATTAATTAAGAATATCTTTAATCTTTTCTTAAAAAACTCCTAAAGAATTTAGGATGCATAAAAATATAATAATTGATAATTTTAATATCTAAATTAAAATTAATTATTATTTTATAAATAAAAAATAACTTAGCAACATGAACTATATATAATATTTAATAATATATTACCAAAACAAATTAGTAATATTGATACACAAGTAGGTAATAATATTTTTCAAATATTACTAAAAGTTATTTGTGTTGTAATGAACGTAAGTTAAATTTTTTAAATTAATCTTCTAAAAAATTGGTACATAATATCATGGTTAAAAAAAATATAACTTTTCCTTTGCAATATGACAAGTGTGAGCAAATTTCTATTGGATTTCTTTTTTCATTCGGATACAAATGTCTTTCGGATATTGATTGTTCTTTTACTTCAAATTTAAAAACTTTCAGTTTGAATAGGGGCATTAAAAAAATAAATTTGCTCTTTTGGTTTGAATATATCGACTAGTACTATTTTGCATTGTTGAAGATCCTATGTCTAGTGACGAAACAACTAACTTTATTTTTCATCGGTGGATCAAATTACTTTAACATTGTATAAAGGGGCATTTGTCTCATAAAAATTTTACATTAAATTTTGGCACCTGTAATTAAGAATAGTGATGGAGTAAAACCGTAAGAAGTAGAATAAAACGCCCACCGTGGGGCTCGAACCCACGACCACAAGGTTAAGAGCCTTGCGCTCTACCGACTGAGCTAGACGGGCTAGTTAGCAAGTATTCGCATTTTAATACTTACCATATTAAAAGTATTACAGTAATTGTCCTGGAACAATGTTCTTTCCATTTAATGAATTATGAATGATTTTTATATTTATACTCTTTAATCAAAAATTAAAATTTTATTTTTAATTTAGATATGGAGTTATAACTAAAGATACAGGATTGACTCAACATATTATTAGGTTTAAAATAAATTTTAAAATAAGGTTTTTTAAAATTAATGATAATATCTTTTGATAAAAAAAATAAAAATATTTTAGAGACAAGTCTTGAAAAAAATTATATTTATATATATTTTTAAAATAAATCTTATAAAAAAAATTTTAAGAATGTAAAATGTAACTTTTTAAGTCATGAAACCCTTAAAAATTATATAACTATTAATGTAAAATATTTTTGAAGAAACCTAAAGCACAAGCTTTGTTGACCCGACCCTTGAACCAACGTTAAAGAGATATTATCTACTAGAACCAACCCAATACGAATAACTTATACTTCCTAATTAAACTAAAAATAATAGTAATGGAATAACATTAAGTTAAATTCTCATGCAATGTTTAATATATAAAAAAATTAAAAATCATATAAAGTGGTTCTGGCAAAAAAAAATTGTGAGGGTTTAGTTACCACTAGAAAAAAAAAAACAAATTAATTAATTAATTAATATGCACTTTTACTACTATCAAAATGCAATAAGAATAACATTTGTCATCTTGTATCACAAGGAAGAAATGAAAAAGTGTGTGCCTCACACCTTTTTGATTTCTCTCTTTTATCTATATCTTTGGGGAAAAAAACTCTCATTTTTGTTTCTCACACATTTTGTTCCTTTTATTTTGTTTGTCATTTTTTTATACCAAACAAATAAAAATTGTGGTATAGAGGATAAAAGTTATTCTATGTTCTTTATTATAAGCAAAAAAAAGTACATTTCTTATTCTTAAAAATAAATAAATTTAACTACTTTTACATCATTTAATAATATTTTTTAAAAGGATATTTCTCTTTTAATCTATGACTTTTTAGTTGCATTATTTTTTTTTTAACATATAAGAAGGAGAATTTAAGAAAAATTTTATGATAATAAAATTTAATGCAAATAATGAACTTTTTTAATATGTATAAAATTAGTTATTTTTATTTATAATACAAAATAGAGAAAGTAGAAATTACTAACACTGATTTTTTTTACAAGAAAAAAAAATAAAAATAGTAGTATATTTTACGCTTTTGGTTATACTATAGCTACAAGAAGTTGGATCTTGATATGATTTCCGGTTTAAAAAAATAATAAAAATCAAACATCATATTTAAAATTGTGATATTCAATTCCAAGCTCAAGCCTTAATTCCATGTGGAAATCCGCGCCGAAGGTACCCAAATTTTGATTGAGAAATACGTAAAAATTTCTTTTCGATTGTGACTTTTCTTGTGCTTGAAAGGGTAAAAATTCCAATTTACAAAATGTATGTTTATTGTTGGTTATGATATAAACAACATTTTCTAGCATGGCTATAAGTCACAAGCACGGCATACATTTGTTATTTATGTCATTGAGTCTAAGATTAACCCACTAGGTCAACTATCTGCCTAAGAGAACTGTATTATTTAGGTTGGAAATCCAGAAATTTTAAAATTATAAAGAATCTTTAATTTCATTGTAAGTCTTCATTGACACTAAACAATTTTATTATCCAAGTTGTCCTTACCATGCTCCTGTAAGTTGCAAATTGAATTGTTGAAGCCTCGGAAAAGTCAGAAAGAAGAATGTCCGTGATTTAAGGAACACGAAATGTGAACTCGAAAAGGCAAGGCAGCAGAGGCCTCAGATTGGTTTAGAGACGAGCATCATGGAGAAAACAGGTATTCAATCATTTGATTTCCATTGTTTACAAAACCCAGAGTTAAATCCAACCAATAACATTAATTCGTATTACACGGATCCAACTGTGATCAAAGTCATTTAACTAGTGAAAAACTAGTTATGCACCGTACCAAAAATTGGTATCACCCTTCACTAACATAATTCAGTATTGTGTTATTCAAAAATTTACAAAGAGAATAGTGCTAAACACTCTTCTACACACTCCTTAATTGATATTTATTAAATATCAGTAAATCAAAAGATAAATTTATTAAGACTCAATAGTGTGACTTTAAACAAAACTCAATTAAGTATATTATTACTAGCATTTCATGATTAGAAAGGCCGAGTTAATGATTTCTTTTAACATCGTTAATGAAAAATTTAAGTAGTTTCATCGCTCATCAGATTTAACGAAGGATCAGAAAAGATGTTAAATTTATTTTAATTTTATATATTTTTATGCACACTCTTATCTGCATCAATTCCTAAATAGCAAGGTTATCAGAGGAAAAAAACAAATAAATAAATAAGAGAAAAGTATCAGCACAGGAAATTATAACATAGCACGAATCCATTACACGTACACAGACCCAATCAATCTACATATAAACAACCAAAAATTTTAATTTAAAAGAGCTAACAAAACTCGATTACTGATTACTTGAAAATCGGTCAAGATCATTATGACCCTGGACCATGTCATGATTTCTCTGCATACAAACGACACAACAGATATCAAGTTCTGTTTAACGGAACCTACATATCAATATCAAATTATCAATAATACTAGAAACCCGTAGACAAAACCCGAGCAATCCAATGCTGTTTTACATTTATATGCAATGTTCAAATGAATTCATTTTACATCATAAGGATAAAGCTGTTGGTACTTGGTAGCTAAATCCAGATCAGTGGTCACGACTCAGCAAAGAAGAATTCATGAGCTTCGCGATATCGTTCCAATACAAGATTATAGAGGGGATGGATAGGTTCTAAGAGATTAGAATAGGGGCCCAATACTAGGTTTGGCAGCGGTGGAGAATCTGGGTGCTTTGACCAGCTATACTGGCACAATGAGAGTCCACTTAAACAGTAACATGTGTGATAGTGATCTCTACGTTTACCCGGTTTGTCTCTCAATCCACCCTCTTGCTCCTGCATCAACCAAAATAATAATGCAAATTTCAACAAATCGGAGCTAGCAATGAAAGTGCATAGATAGAATTGGTTAAAGGTATACTGGAAAGGTTAAACTTGGATTTTCAATTGTCCGAAAGTGAAGTCGACTAATTCAACGCCTTTTGGTTTTAGCGAAGAGTTAAATGATTAACTAACATTTTGATTGTGTCATGGTTTTAGCGAAGAGTTAAATGATTAACTAACATTTTGATTGTGTCAAAGTTCACACAGAAATTTAAAATCTCTTATTGCCATTCATCTGTATGTTTAAGTAAGAAACAGAGCAGAAATAAAGATTGTGTCACACACACACACATTTTAGCGAAGAGTTAAATGATTAACTAACATTTTGATTGTGTCAAAGTTCACACAGAAATTTAAAATCTCTTATTGCCATTCATCTGTATGTTTAAGTAAGAAACAGAGCAGAAATAAAGATTGTTTCACACACACACATTTTAGCGAAGAGTTAAATGATTAACCAACATTTTGATTGTGTCAAAGTTCACACAGAAATTTAAAATCTCTTATTGCCATTCATCTGTATGTTTAAATAAGAAACAGAGCAGAAATAAAGATTGTCAAACACA